CAACCTCAAAAGCTTGTAGACAAATCCAAATAAGTTTTGGTCCCCAACTTATGAAATAGGCGACAACGATTACAATCATCATTTTCACAGCACGAAGTTTTGCTTCAGCTATTTTTGAATTGATTACTTTACTTCGAGATCGCTGCCAGAGCACTTTTAAAACCTTGCTGTATGCCACAGCCATTAAAACCAGAGGAACTAAGAAAGCAAAAACAAGAAAAACACTTGAAGAGATTTGGAAAGGAACGCCTAAAGTCGAGAGGCAAAGCTCGTATTCTGTGTCAGCCGTAAGGTTCCAGTCAGCCTTTATGTACTTCATGCTGTAAAGGAATGGCGAAGAACAAAATGCTCCGTAAAACCATGAAATAATGACGGCATTTCGACTGTGTTTCCATGTGATGTATCTAGCTTTTAAAGGATGTACAATGTGGACATAACGATCAAAAGCAATTCCCAACAGGAGCGTGAATGTAACAGCCAATGTTGTGTAGGTTCCAAACGCGCCAAGCTTGCAAACAGCATCACTTCCATGTTCCACGGCGGTATATTCAATGGTTAGCAACATTGGTGTGAGAGCAAGTCTGAAAATAATGTCAGTTATACCGAGATTGAAGAGATGAAAATTTGAAAAGTTCTTCAGAAGTCGTTTCTGGCGAAGAAGAACGCCACAAACAATGCAGTTTGCGACTACACCGACGACAGCCAACAAAAATTCAACGGCCAACACTGCGTTTGCGAACAGTAAATAATTCTGGTATTGCCTGGTGTATTCGAAGTAGCTATCGTTTGAACTACCAAAGTCGTCTTCGCTCATTTTGCACGATTGAAAACCTAGTTAATTTCGACACGCAAGTTAATTTAATTCAACTCTGCCGACTTAAAAGTTGGCCACAACTAATCGTATTCAATTCAATGCTACGACTCCAAAACCATTCACATGGAACAATGTAAATCCTATTTATGTTTTCACCTATTCAATAAAACGCTAACCGCCTGCAGCTATGTTCATACAATAGGCCCAAGAAGACACTTTTGTAAGTATGGAAACAGAGCTAACGCAAAAACATCCTATATCACAAACATGGCATATATCGCATTTTCGCATAAAAGCATTACAAAAAGGGCTGGGAAATTATGCTAAATAACACCCAGCCCTGAAAAGTCACTCAGTTTTCGCGAAGAAATACTTAAATAAATTTTCTCTTTTTTGTTGAATTGGAACGTTTCTATTGATTAATATAAATGCTCAAATTGCCCCCTGCGTGATAGACTATATTTTTTGAAAATGGCTTTTCATTATAAAATCTTTATTCTGAGAGATTGTCACCTCTTTCATAATTTAGTATTTTTAATACTTCAAATTGCAGTTCCATTTCTTCATGTGTTTATGTTCAACCGAATAGACTATAGTTCAAATTAAACGAAATAAATTAAACGCACTGCATTTTTCACGTGTGGTTATAGGTTGTTTTCGAAAGCAAGTTATTAAAATTCTAAATAATAATGTCATTTCTCCATGACACCACCTTCTCGTCCCCATAGCCCATTTTGTCTCTCTTAGCTGGGGGGCCTTGGCAAGAAGGACTCTTCGTTTTTCTCGTGCCTAAGCCCTGCTGCGTGCATGCTATACCACACTTTTTTTTAATATTGATATCATGATTATGGATCTTCATTAATATCTGTAACCATGGTTTCTTGATGCAAAGCACCTCCACAAAGTATTAAAACTTAGCTAATAATGCGTTAATTAGCATTCCATTTCGTTGGGGACTTTATTCCTATATTATTTCTACGTTTGACTACCAGTGATGAGCCGGCTTTGCAACCGGCAAGGACATGCAAAGAATCTAATCTCTGTCAACCATTGTAATGGAAAAACAACAGCAGCCAAGTCTTGCCAAGTGCTTTCGAATTGAACGTCTTGTCCTGCGAAAAAAGGAGGGGGGTGACTGCAAAGCTGTCCGCAAGGCTTCTTTCCAATGTCCTCAGCATGCGAATTCCGAATCTTTGTGCTGAGAGTGGAGCTCGGGCTCGCTTGAAAAGTGCAGGACTTCAACTTGCCTAGTTTCTGTACGGCTTTCTCCCAGGCCTTCACGGTCAATTGATTTCGGTGACGTATCCAAGACGAGCAGCCCGGAATATACACTTCTCGCCTTGGACTACGTGACACGAAAACAATTGACCGAGGCGAAATATCGAGGCCTAGGAACTAGGTAAGATTTCAACGAGGTCTACCGACTCAGTTGTTTTCGTGTTGTATTAAAGGATATCGGGAAATTTTGAAATGAAGAAGGAAAGATCGACTTATTTTCAAAATTAGAAAGATAACATTACCTTTGACAATGTCCCACCCCCGGGCTGACCTGTCAAGGCGGAACTCTAAGTGAAATTCTAGAAAAAATTGGAATTTTTGAATCTTACAGTATCGAAGTTTTATTTTGAGATGCACTTCTCCCTTAAGTTAAAAGCTTGTTTTCTCAAAACGAGTTATTTTTGCCTTTCAGAAAAGATATCTCAAGGATTTAAGCTTTTGACCTCAAATTTTCAGGATTGCTAGGTCTCACTGACTTTATTGTTTTAAGTGAGGGAAATTGCCATATAATTCCATCTGTTTACCTTAGAATACATGAAGTAAAAAGACTTTTTTTTTGCTTTAAATTGTACATAAAAATATTTTCTCAAGTGCATAGGGTTACGCACAGCATGTGATACTTTGAGAACCCGGTGTCATATTACAATAACTGACACAGCATACCGTAAATCCTCGAAGTTGCGTCCCCCTCAAATAAGCGCACCCTTCGAATAAGCGCCCCTCNCCCCCCCCCTTTCGAATAAGCGCCCCACTTCCCTTCCCCCATTTTGTGGATGAGTACTGAGCCAACAAAGGCTGTATGGTTTTCGTCGTGTAGTATCGGATTTGTACAGTTTCAGTTTCTGAACACGTTGAACACGTTTTAAGTACTAACGGTGCCGCGATTTAAACTTTAGGATCAGCTTCTTGTCGATAAACAGCTTATGCTGTTGTTAACGCGCAGATGATGTATAAAAAAAGTGTTCGTGTCAGGCCACGATTTGGGAAAAATTAAATAAGCGCCTCCCCCCCTCCCCCCTCCCCCCTCCCTAGCTTTTCAGTGCTAGGGTTTTCATAAAAATCAGGGTTGTGGCAACTGTGCAAAAAAAGGGCATATTTCAGGTGAAATCCCCCCTTAACGCAAATGCCCTACTCTGGGGCAAGAAATGATGCTACATGACTGGCAAAACCCCAGGGAAGGGATGGTGGGGTTTGGAATTGACAGAGCAAAAACACACTCGAGGAAAGGGAGTGAACGTTTATCATTTTTAACTTTTTGATTAATTTTAACTGTACGACTGTCTTATTTACACAAGTGCTAAGTTTTGTCTTCTCCAAGTAAACCTTCCAACGGTCAACTTTTAAAAAGCGATGACATCATTTCTATAATGATTAATTTGAGCAAAAATAAGAACTTTGTTCTCCGCTCTAATCAAATGAAGATTTTCCCCACTACATGTACAAAGATATGTTGCAACGAATGTTGCATTACGTTAATGTTGGCTGAAAAATTCGAACTGAGTAATTTAAACAAGTCATTAAACGGCCTCGGACGCTAATAAGTTAATATTTCCTTTCTAATCAAGATTGTCACGCAACCTGTACACTTTATCCAAACAACTTCTTGAGCAGCAGCAAAAGACAAACGAACACGCCACGTCACGCAATCTTTGCAAGCTTTCTGAGTTGGGCTTTACAACACGCAGCGCCATGTCAGCGCTTTCTTCCAGGAGGAATGCCGCTGTGAAGTAAGGACTGCAGCAAACGAAGCAGTGTCCAGCTGGTATGCTCAGAAGATTGGCTAAGTGAGGTGGCAGACGAAGAGACCAAAGGTTTTCATCGCTGAGCGATTGAACTGTGAAATAGATTATTACATATTTGAACCAGCTTTTCACCGAGTTAAGATGTATTTGGGAATATTTGGAGAGCACTCAAGAAGCTAGGGCAGCTCACGAGTGTAATTCAAGCAACTCTTATGCTTCTTTCGTGTTCTCCAAACTTTCTGCTTGCATCATAACTCGATGATACATGCTGAAGCATCAACCAATTGTTAATTGATCATGGTTTGTGTCTTTCGTCAAGATTAAAAACTACTTTAAGAGAGGAAAAACCAGAAAAAAATCGACATACGTTGGTAGACTAGTTCTAAACTACCCCGGTGCTAGAGGATTTTTTCTGTCATCTCTAAACCAATCATCATGTGCTTGACAGACGCGTCTTTTCCCGCGCTTTCCGCGGCTACATCCGCATGCTTTCCCCTGCTTTCAACATGTTACGTGTTTTTCGGCGCTTTCCGCCGGTTACGTGTTTTCCCGTGCTTTTCGTCGTTAACGTGTTTTCCCGCGCTTTCCATCGGTTACTTGTCTTTGCATGCTTTTCGTCCACTAGTGTTTCCTACGCTTTCCGTCAGTTACTTATTTCCCCGCCCTCTACATCGGTTACCTGCTTTTGCATGCTTCTCAACCACTAGTGTTTACGTTTACCGCGCTTTCCGTCAGTTACACATTTTCCCGCGCTTTCCGTCGGTTACACATTTACTCGCGCTTTCCGTCGGCTACTAGTTTCCCCACCCTTTCCGTCGGTTACATGTTACCCCGCGCTTTCAGTCGGTTGCATTTTCCTACACCGACACTTTCCATCCTGTTAGATGTTTTCCCGCGCTTTTTGGAAGTTGCACTTTCTGCTGCAAGTTTTCAGAACATGACCAACTATCTATCATTCAATACTTACAATTGCCAAGAAATAAAGTTAATGAAACTGTATAAAGCCCTCACCAAGGGTGTAAACCGCTCTTAAGGACAATTCCAGAAGAGGTAGTATACTTCCATCATTCTTTCTAAGGACAAGCCCTAAATCAAGAACTTGATGCAGATCTGTTGAACAAATATTTTTGAACCATTTACCTCTACATATAACATAAAGAAGTTGGCATTCAAGTACCTTTGACGTGTTCCTGCCTTCAAGAATATTTGAGTGTTAACTTAGCTATAGAAATCTAATACACTAACGACAGACTAGGGTTGGGACAGAAAACTCTCTAATAAATAAACATATGAAACAAAAAAAATCCTTTATCTAAGTGTAATGATATTTTAGCACTGCTGTGCTTATTTGGGACACTACATTGGGTAAATTGAGATATTGTAAACAGGGTAGAAAACTTGCTAAAAATCCCAACTGATGGGTGGCTGACCAGATAGCTATTTACAAAGGGTGGATGAGTTGAATTCGAGACTACTGAACACAACTCCATCTATTGCTAGGGAGAAGAATTAACTGATTTGAACAAGCTAGGGATCCCTGGATTACAAGTCTGGCACCCTAACTGCTAGGGTATGTGGAAACCCCCCCCCCCCCCCAACTTATAAAAACCTACCATTTCAAGATTTCCCTCATCAGATTCACTTACCTTGGGAATCTTTCTGATGTACTCTTGGCAGCTTTTGAAAGGAACTATACAAGATTGATACAAAAGAAAAGATGTCAGTCACTAAACATTAAGTACTAGGAATAGTAATGGACTAGGATGTTGAATCACTATATTTCTGACTATTTTTGGCCAATGAATTCCTTCATTGATTGCCATACAGTCAAACAGCATAAAGGAGCTGAAAAATTAAACAACAACAACAACAACAACAACAA